TTTCTCTGGCCCCGCTCTCCCCTGCCGAAGCGAGGGCAGGCTTTGGGGTGGAGACGGGTGGGCTGCCCTGTTGAGTTTCGACTACAGAAAGCTGGGGAGGTGCCCCGGAGAAGAGGCTGGAGTGGGGGGGCGGCAGGGCTGGCCCCCGGAGCAAGTGCAGAAACAAGGAAATGGCTGTGTATTGATTTGGGGGGAAAGCTGACGTCCTGCTAAAGGCAGCGCCTTTGACCCGCGTGCGCTCTTGCAGAATGGGGCCTGTTGTTAATCTGACGCCAAGCTCTTTACAGTCTGCCCTTCCTGGGTGCGTTGTAGGCACTGGGGCACAAAGCACCCTGAAAAGCTGAGGGGCGGGCAGTTGAGGCTGTTTTTCCAGGTTTCTCTGGAAGCCCAGGAAACTGCTTGGAGGAATAGCAGGAGGGGGCTGCATCGTGCTTCCTTGCACGAGGTCCACGGTCTTTCTCCGAAGTAATTTCCAAAACGGGCACAGCACTGGAGGATGTCACGTTTGTGGAATTAACGAAAATTACGGCGGTAGAGCCAGGAGGGTCTCTCTTACGTTAGGACCTGACTGCTTTCTGAGCTAGGAAGGATGTGCGCTTCTGCGAGCAGGAAACGTCTCCTCTCAGACTCACAATTTTATGCAAGACGCTTTGAACATTAAAACAGGGCTGATAATCAAAAAGGCCAAGTAAGAACAGGTAGAGATTTCTCTTCCGCTTTGTTTCGGAAAAACAGTGTGAAAGAGACTTCCTTCTTCTCCAAGAAGAAACCGAAGGAGAAAAGATCTTGTTGCGATTCAGCATCAGAAGGTGAGTGGGGTTTGGGGATCCTGCTTCTGGTCTGATCGTGGAGGTCTTGAACAGGCCGAAAGTGCTGCTTGCGGGTCTGGAGCACGTGGTGGCCTGGGGCGTGGTGCTTGTGTTCCCTCCCTTTCCCTGGCAGCTGGACGTGGCTGTCCAGATGGACTGGTTGAATATGCAGAGGGGATGGTGGGACCTTTTGTGCACATCTGGGCTGTGCGCCAGCAGCAGCAGCAGCAGCAGCCTTGCAGGTCAGCATGTGGGTTGATGCCATCGAAGGCGCCTTCGGCTGCACGTGGTTTGCGGCCAGATGACGCCGAGAACGGTTTCCGTATATGAGCTGTAAGGTCGGCCACAGATGGGTCTCAGTCCATTTAGGTGTTTATGTATTCAAGTTAGGCGTCACTGCCTCCCACATGACCCTGGGCAGCTCACGGTATCACCAAGCAAAATAGAAAATCAAACAAGCAAGATGAACAGCCCCATCCGCCTTGCCCCGAGGCCTGGGGGAGCAGCCGGGGCCTGAGGCCTCTGGAACTCCGTCGGGTGGGAGCCTCCCAGACCTCAGGGGCTGCAGAATCACCACGGCTACGATCTGGGGCTGTGGCAGAGCACCTCGCCAGAGGCTTGGAAGGAGGGCACGGACCCTCGCCGTACGGGGGCTTTCTGCAGGAGCCAGTTGTTGGGTTTCTTGCTTTTAATCTCTTTCATCCTCCGGTTTTAAGTCTGCAGGATAGCATGCAACGTCCCGTTCCTCTTTTGTTCAAGGATAGAACTCACCTTGAAGGTGTTTCCTGGAAAGGGGGAATATAAAATTCGACTCAGGTTTACTCACTCTTTAGAGATTAGAGGAAGGGGAGTTTAGGACACGGCTCCAACTTAAATAAATGCAACCGTGGATCATTTGGCTACGCCTCTGCAGTTCAGGAGGCAGATGGGGCAGGCGAGGCCTGGAGGGACGCAGAGGCTCCCTTCGCTTCTCTCACGCCCTCATTGCCTTCTTCCAGGAGTCCCCGCCAGGCAGTCATGGGAAAGTGGCAGAGCAAACTGGCCCGCAACTCCTCTGCTTCCTCTAAGTACAGGTAATGGCTGCAGGCGTTCTGAGGGGAGGGAACACCTGTTAGGGCCGGGTCGCCAAGGAACCCTCGGCTGCCAGGCTAGTTGGACATGGGTGGCTCACCCAGGTGGCCTGGCATTTGCGGGAGAGTCCTGCTGTGTGGATCACCCTGACTCCGGGGGACGGCACCCACTGCAAGGGAGGGCCTTTAACAGCAACAGGTTTCTCTTTCTCGTGCCGCGTGAAAAAATGGATGAGCGTTCAGGTACTGAGAAAGAAACATAAGAGAACTAAGTAATGTGTAATTAGTTTTGGGACTTGGTCTCGCTAGATGAGGGGTGACCAGTTTTGCTGGAGAAAAGCTGTTTTTATAGAATGTGGTGAAGACAGTTAATGAAACCTCCGGATGCAGCCACCATCCCTCAGAAAATGGAGCAGGCGGAGAGGGGCAGAAAGCGGATTGAGCGGCCAGTGGCATTGGCCTCGTGTTGCTCAGAGCCTGGCCCTGAATGCTTCCGTTCCCACTCTGCAGGGCTGCTACCTACAATGAGGCGGAGAGGGCGCCCCCCACTGCGGCCCCAAAGGCCAGCCCGGCCCACCAGGAGGCCGTGGCTTCCGTGGCATCCCTTGTGCCCAGGCTGTGTGTGTCGGGGGGAAAAGACAAGGTAAGTCGGACAGCAGCCCCACTGGGCAAGGGTCTCCCTGGGCCCCAGGACTCCCTCTCTAGCCAAAGGGGGGTGCGCTGGGTCTGGGTCTGCCCTTGGCATCATTGGGAAGAGCCGCCTTGCAAGTGCTAGGAGAGAGAGCTGAGCCTGGGGTGGGGGGTGGGGTCCAGGGAAGAAGATCTGGGCAGGCACCTTTCAAAACAGAAGAAATCTGGGAAGGTTTGGGCTTCAAATTTATGGAAATATCAAGTTAAAATGTGTGTGAGCATGATTTTATGGGGGAGGGATGGAGCACCCGTGAAAATCTTGCACATTTCAGGAAAGAGCTAAGCAATGCAGTAGAAAAGAAGCCCTTATCCGAAGCACTGTGGATAGACCACCTGGCAGTAGTCGAACAGCGGCATCTCCGTTCCTCTGACGGGGATGCCAAGGGGGTAGAGAAGCGGAAAAGGTCCCGGCTTTAATTCTGACTTTGAGAAATTAAGCTACGGCCCTGCGTTTGGCCACAAGGGAACAACCCAACCGTCCCCTCCCTCCGTCAGTGGAGTTGCTTTTGGGGCCAGCAGCACGTGATGTGTGGTGGCAGTCTACCTTGTGGCGCCTGAGGTTTGCAAATACCCCATCCCTTTAATTTTCTTTTCCCCCATGGGGCCAAGATAGGCCGACCTGGGGAGGGGCATTACCTTCTATCCCTTTTTGATTCCTGCCAGGGAGAGGCGGAGGTCGTGGAGGCGCCGATGTAGTGAGTGCCTTTTGCAGGATGTGGTTGTTGTGGCCTGCAGACAAGGAATTGACTAACTCCCAGCATAGTGGTTGGCCGAGCATGGGAGAGTTTGCTTAATTTGTTCCAAAGAAGCTAACCCACTTTGGATTGTTTACGTAGATAAATTTTGTGGAACAGAGAATTCACGTGCCATACGCCCCCTGCAAAAAAATATTCCAGTTAAGCGTGTCCTGCAACGAGGAGATGTATGTAATTCCTGCTTCAGTCCCTGCGTTTCAGGGACAGGAGAGCCGATGCCCTGCAGGGGCCAGGACCGCAGCTCCCCCCTTCTCTTGTCCTCGGCTGTGCCGGATCCAAGTTTCTCTCTCTAGGCTGTGATCGTGTGCAGCTGGTGCTCTGGCACTGTGGTTAGGAGGTTCGCGGGTCACGAGCGGGAAGTTACTAAGGTAAATTTCTCTCTGGCCGCGTAATGGTTGTGTTTCTCCCACCCCCAAGCTTGCCGTGGGAGCTATTAGTCAGGATGCCATGAGGGGACGTGCGGTGGGAGGAGGATATATCCGAGCAGAGTGCTTTGTGTATCCCGCTCCTGGCCGACCTCCCAGAGCTATGAGAGAACCAAGTAGAAAGGGTCTCTTTCTGACGATTCTGGGAGTAAAGCCGAGGTCCCTCTCAGAAAGGGCGATGGCCGGCTACCCCTGAACTATCTGCCATTTCTCTTCTGCCCAGGTGTGCTGCCTCCCTGAGTCCAGCTGGCTTTTCAGCGCCTCTCGAGACAAGACGGCGCTGATGTGGGACCTCCACGGTGGTTCTGAGGCAGCCCGGTGCTTCTCGGGGCATCGTCTGGTAGTGACCGGCTTGGCTGTCAGCTCAGGTAAGTTGACTCCCATCACCAGCTTCTGGTTCCCGCCGCAGAGCCCCCTTCGGTGTGCTTCCTTCTCAGCCTTTTCTCGTCTCCAGTCTTCCAGAAGCTCTGCACTGGCTCTCGTGACAACACTGTGCGTCTGTGGGACATGGAGACTGGGCGCTGTCTATCCAGGGCGTGCGTTTCTAGGAATCTGGTAAGAGCGAGCGGCCCTTCGAAAGACGGACCTGCCACGCACTCCCCTTTCAAAGGAAGCCACGATACGCAGAGCCAAAGAAGATAGGTAGGGGAAAGAAAGAAGGAAGGTAAGGCGGCTAACTCAGAGCCGCCGCTCTCTGTCCTGAACGGCCCTCTTGGCTCCCACCACATCCGTACACTGTTTGCCGTGCTGCCTTCTGACCTTTTGCCTCCTCGCTTCTCTCTCCTGGAGAATCTCTCCAGGTCCATCCAGTCACGCCTTCCTCTTTCTTCTTCCCTATGTGACTGAGCCACCTCAGCGCGCTTCCTTTGCCCTGGTCGCTCACTTTTGTATTCAATCCACGTTCTTCCTCTGAACTTACTCCAGCTTGTCACTGCCCAGAACTAGACACAGAACTCTGAACGGGGCCCGACCAGGGCAGGGCAGAGTGGAAAAATCACTCCCTGCCATCTGGACTCCGTGCTTCTGGTAACGCAACCCAGGACAGTGTGGCTTTCGAGCAGCCGCCTTGTGCTGATGGCTCGTGTTTAACTTGTGGTCGGCAAGGACGCTCGAGCCCTTTCATGTCCAGCTCTCCCCCACCCTAGACTTGTGCCTTCGACACTCCCTGCCCGGACACAGAGTTTTCCGTTTCTCCCTGTTAAATTCCATCCTATTGATTTTAGCTTGCTGTTCAAGCCTGTCTAAATCTTGTGTCTTTTTTTGCATAAGATATTAGACATCCCCCGAGCTTCATGTCACCTGCTACTTAGAAGTGTAAGAATAGCAGGATGCAAATGTTTGCAAATAAACAAAATACGATATTTTACGTGATTGCTAAAAATGCTGAACAGGACAGAGCCCTCTGGTGCTCCACATGATACCTCCCTCCAAGGTGATGTGCGGCTGTTAATGTTAACGCACACTCTTTGGGCGTGGTCGTTCAACCGGTCGTGAGCCCATCCAGCCCTCACGTTCACCGTTTTAGTAAGGAGCATGTCAGGAAGCACTCTGTCAAAGACCAAGCTGCAATTTTAGCTAAGCTACGCTCAGAGGAAGGCTTCGTTGAAGTGTTCAGCTCCGGCGACTTTTTGGCCAGGTGAATTTTCCCATGAATTTTTCCCTTGTGCAGGTAACACATCTAAGCTGGGTTCCCAGAGAGCCGTACGTTGTCCAAACATCAGAGGATAAGACAATTAGGTAGGTGGATCCCAGGAGAAGAAAATCCAGTTTTTGCAGGGCTGCAGTATTTTCAAGTATAAATCAAGAACCTGAATTTAACGAAAATGGGTTTGGAAAATGTTGCTTTGGAAGTTTGAACCTTGTCAGCTCTCGGTTTTAACTTTAGCCCTTAAAGCAAGTCTTGAGCTGGTTGCCTGCCTTGTCGTAACTCCATTCAGATTCTAAAAATACTGTTGCTATTGAATGTTGAAAGGTGAAGGTGTAATTTCTCTGTCTGTAAAATGGGATGGCAGGGGAGCGAAGGTCTGGATTTATTTAGCACGGTGAGTACATCTCTGCTGGAATTTAAAGGATCCATTTTTCATTGTCCTGAACAAGCCCTTTGCTTTTCTGAGGTTTTCCCTTAAGATAATAATAATATTTATATTATTATTATTATTATTATTATTATTATTATTATTATTATTATTATTTATCGGCTTGCAACAATCAAAGACATTACAATAAAATCAATGAAACATTAAAGATTAAAATGGCAAGCATGATGAAGTGAGGGCTCTCGCTCTCCCTTGCCAAAGGTGAAGAGGCTGGTCTTTGCAGCTCTTCTAAGCAACAATGGAGCGGGGGCCGTTCAGATCTTGGGGGAAACCTCAATCCAGAGGGCAGGCACTGCTACAGAGCAGGCGTGTTTCTGGGGTCCCAACAGATTATATTGTTTAATTGAAGGAACCCGGAGCACGCCAGTCCTGTGGGATCGAATTGGCTGGGTAGATGTTATGGGAGACCGGTGGTCCCTCAAGTAACCGGGCCCCGTGCTATGTAGGGCTTTATAGGTAACAACCCGTACCTCATACGTCTTTGTCTTTTTGCTTTACTGCAGAATCTGGGACAGCCGGGGGTTGCAGATGGCATGTGCTTTCCCCGCTAAGAAACACATCCAGACTTCTTGCGACGTGAGTCTGGATGGCCGCTACTGTATCAGTGGCAGTGATGGCTTTGATGGCGAGGGGTGTGAGGCCACGGTGAGACTAACGGCGGAAGGGTCTCGCTGCAGAGCAAGGTTGAGGTGCATGGTGGGCTTAGTTGTGCAGGAACACGTACGTGCTGCGAACGTATTTGGCCGATGCAGTTGCCCCGGTGGGGGTGCTGACAGTTCTGGGCTAGAACTGCATCATCCAGGAAAGGTTAGTTGATGTGACGGGATGCCTGCTTACGCCATCCATGGCTGCATTGTTCTTGTGGCACGTGTCGCTGATGGCACAGACTTCTGCTGCATCTTGTGAGGCAAGCTGCTTGAAGAACAGCAGCAGCCGGGTCACACGTAGACCGTTCCCATCTAGACTCTCTTTAGAAGCCGACGGGAAGCATCTTGGAGGGCTGTTACTTTTGCTGTTCCCCGGTGAATTACTCAGAAGTAGGTTTAAGCCCGGAAGGTCTCATTTGCTGTTGTGGTCATTGTCGTGAGAGATTGAAGGGTACACTTAATCTTTATCCTGGGTTACGTGCAGGGGAAGGAAGGCAAGAACCCTGAGTCGCATAGGGAGGTAGCTGACTCTTGGATCCAAGCACCTTTTCGTTAAGCCCATTTCAGCTTTGGATTCAAACATGACTTTCCCTCCTAGGTCAAAGCGATGGGAAGGCGGTGCCACGCGTGTCCTTTGCAGTCACTAGAATGTGTCCTGTGGTGGCGGGGAAGGGAAAGGGGAAGGGGAAGGGAAGGGGTTTTTGCCACGGGTACATTCAGTCGCTTCATGCTGCCTTCTAGCTCTGGGACCTCCGGCAGACAGGCCACATGGTGTACGAGTTCAGAGGCCATTCCCAAACCGTAGCCTCCTGCGTCTTCCTCTCTCAGGGCACCAGCGCCTTCCCGGCAATAGCCACCGCCTCACACGATTGCACCGTGAAGGTGTGGAGACAAGACACTGGAGGTAAGCTCGGTTTTCGCACCAGCAGCATCATCATGCTTTTCACATATCTAAGCTAGGTGCAGTGCAAAACATATCACCTGAAATCAGAATTGTGGATGTTTTCATTTTGCACACGCAGGCTAATAATAAGTAACAGGTCTGAGCCTTCGTTGTAGCCCGGGGGGAGGAAGGCCTCGTGCTTTGCCCGGCAACGAGCTGTTCCGTTCTCTCCCTGCAGCCTGCGTGGCCGGCCTGTGCCCCGCGGGAGCTGGGCCTTTGGCTTCACTGGCAGCCTGCGAGGACGCTACTCTCCTCTGCGCCAGCTCCAGCCCCGGGATTCGTTTGCTGCAATTCCACTCCGCACGAGGTTGGGAACTGCGGGAAGCGGCCTCGTTCTGAGCCAGAGACGCCAGTTCCGCAGAAAGGAAGGGGCCCAGGCGGCGGCGGCGGCGAGGCAGAGAGGGTCCAAGCGGTCGCCAACCCGAGGGGTCAGGCGCCCCACGCGTCTTTTTTGCGGGCCCCGAGTTCTGGCTTTGAGCGGAAGGACGCAGGAGGCAAGTCCGGCGGTGGAAACGGCAGGTCGTCTGCGCCGCGGCACCCGGATCGTAGAGAGGCGGGACAAGGCACCAGGGTCCCGGAGAGCGCCCTGAGGTTTCTGTTTATGGCACACTCCCAGTTTTTAAAATGGAAAAGGAAAAAAAAAGCACCGCCGCTGAGAAAAGCACCAGCTGGGCTTTCGCTCCTCTCTTCCCCCTTGCCGTTAGCTGCACTTTCAGGAAACTCTAACATGAGCAAAATCTCTCTGCCGTCGCAGACCGCGATTTAGGCGCTGGCTGGCTCCGAGGGCAGGGCTGAAGGAGTCCGACCTGGAAGCGACGGAGCCGGGAGCGGGAGCGGGTCCCACCGGCCCCGCGTTCCGTCGCCCGTCCTTTCCTC